CTTTTAAATAAGGTTTGAACTATTGGAAAGTGCAGGTTTCGGTGCATCGAATGCATTTTTAAAGTTCAAAATTACACTTTCCGGCGGTGCTACAAATGGCTCTGAAAATGATCCAATTTCTCGAAATTCTTATTAACATAGGTCTCTTTAAGGGGCTATAGTTCAATTATTTAAAGTTAATTATAAAAGCGGTTTGAAGTATTGGAAAGTGCAGATTTCGATGCATCGAACGCATTTTCAAAGTTCAAAATACACTTTCCAAAGGAATTACAAATGACCCTGCAGATCCAATTTTCAGAATTTCTTATAAACATAGGTCTCTTTGAGGGGCTGTCGTTCTGTTATTTAAAGATACTTTTAAATAAGGTTTGAACTATTTGAAAGTGCAGTTTTTAATGCATCAAATACCTCAGTAATTTTTTAAAGCGTTAAAAGCACTTCGAGAACAATAATACTCATAAGCTGTTAAAGAATAATAAAAGCGCTTAGGCCAAATAAAACCGATAAAATTTCTTCATGATAAATATAAAAACTAAAAACATTCGAATATATCTCTTGTTTATTTCGTTTGACTCGATGATATAAACATAAATTCAAATAATTTAATTGTACAAATTGTATTTCATGTAGGCAACCCATTATACTGCAGAGTATTGCTTATGCAGAGTAACAGGTATACCTCAGATTTTCTCTTTCATGTCAGTGAAAAATTCATAATTTGTTAATAACAAACTAGCAAGAGTAGATTATGACAAAAAACATTAAAGGGACTTCTTTGCTATAAGCCTGAATGAAAGTATTATATGGAAATGCATTACAACCACTGTTATTAATTTTTTAACAATTTTACTATATATCAAAGAAAGATTCATAAGTTTCTTGTAACAAACCCCCAAGAGCAAATTATGACAAAAATTATTAAGAAATCTTCTTTTCTATGTCTGTTTGCTAATTAACAAATACAATAAAACTGTTGTTATTAATTTTCTACGATTTTTTCTTATTAACTGATAGTGTTCATAATCTATGCATTTATAACATACTTAAGGGACAATTGTGATAAAGGTTCTATTTTATTTGATTCTATAACAAACATATTAATTCAAACTTTTTAATTTTATTAAGAATTAACCCATAAATATCTAAAAATATACATGGATTGATTTTATGTAGGCAACCCACTATACTGCAGAGTATTGCAGACCCAGAGAACAGACATATTTTAGATGTTTCCTTTTTTGGAAGTAATAAATTCATAATTTGTTTAAAACAAGCTATTAAGAAAAATTATGGCAAAAACCACTAACGAAACTTTTTTTCTATGCCCCTGAATGAATTCATTATAAATAATTGCACTACAATTATTATTTATTAATTTAACCCATTTTC